TGATGGAGTTTGGTGGAGACATAGTGTTTTGGCTTTCCATTTTATTATTCTTTTGTTGTGATCTTGACATGTGAATTTCTTTTGTTGTTTATGATTCTGGTATGAGAATTAAATTGATGTATGCTTCTGTTTGTATTATCTGGGTGCCTAGATCTTTTCTTTATTGATTATGTAAAACTGGTTGGTACAGGGTTTAGGTTCTCCCATGTTTAATTTGGAGGGAAATGATGGCTTCTGTTTAGCTCGTCAGGAGTACCCACAGAAGCCCAAATCAGGTTCCAGTCAGGTACACTCAGGTTTCCTTGACCACTTAGAGGCAGGATCTGGGCATGCTCAAGCTGTCCACCCTCTCAGGTTGTGTGCTAGGATCTCAACCTTAGCCTACCAAAGCCAAATCTCCCCTGGGTCCTTGGGAGGGCCCTCAAGAAATCCTAGGTAGAGGGGTGAGTATGGCACAATTAAGTGAAGCTCACTAACATGTGGACGCAGGACCAAGGACCTCTCAGGCAGTCCCCTGCATTCTCAGCCCCTCTGTCACAGACAGGCCAGAGGGAGGCCAGAATTCCTCACTCTCTGGCAGTCTGCTGAGATCAGAACTACTACACTGATGGAGGTCGGAAAATACCCTCTCAGGCTGTCTGCTAGGACTTCAGCCTTAGCCTACCAAGGCCGATCTGCTCTGGGGCCTTGGGAGGGGCCTCATGAAATCCCAGGAAGGGGGATGGGTATGGCACAATTAGGGGAAGCTCACCACTGTGTGAAGGCAGGAACCAAGACCTCTCAGGCAGTCCCCCTTGCGTTCTCAGCCCCTCTGTCACAGAAAGGCCAGAGGGAAGCCAGAATTGGGCACTCTCTGGAGGTCTGCTGAGATCAGAGCCACTACACTTATCTCTCATTCAGAATCTTATCATCAGTATATTTCTTTAAGATTTCAAGGGATTACACTTCCCAGACATTAGGCTTGAGTCCATATAAAAAGTTATTTAGACAATTATTTTTCATTGATGATTTTGTTCCTAATCAGGAAGTGCTGTTCAGATGTAAGACTTCAAATCCTGGCCTGCAATACTGCAGTGCCCACCTGTAGCTAAGGGAGACAAACAGCTGTTTTTCTAAACTGATGGATAAATTTGTTTTCACCGCCCATCTAGAAGCCTATAAGAGGGAACTGACACTGATTCTAACCACTCCAACAGCTGTCAAAATACCTGAAATCAAATTCTGAATCCATCACTCTCGAGTCCGGCCTTGGAAGACAAAAGAAAAATGAGGAGGAACCCAATAGAGGGATGCTTTTGGAAGCCCTTGTCAAGAAATTCTAATGGACTCTCATATGAATATTTGAAGTTTTCCCTGTTCTGACTTTTTTCTAGTTCCTTGTCTAGAGCTTTTAATGCTAATTACTCTTGCCTTGACTTGTCCTTCATCAGTCAAGGACTTTCTTTTCCCTTACAGATAACAGTTATGCAACAAGACAGAGCGGTCTCTGTCCTGATTCCCTATTGGCAGTTTGGGTGATCTCTTCAGAGGATGATGTGAAGGAATAGGAGGTAGGAACTGGCTAAGCAGTTAGGGGAAAAAGAGCTTCCCCAAAACTAGCCTGTTTCTTGGCCGAAACTTGCAATGTCCTTGGGCTTCTTAGTAACATACTTCATTCCAAAGGCCAAAAATGTTGAAACTGTTTGGGAGTTTTTATCTAATCCTTAAAATATTTTAGTGTTATATCTTCAAGGGGATTAGTTAGAGTACCCAAAAGACCCATAATAAATAAATA